AAAAAAAAAGAAGAGAAACTCACAGTCTGCGGCTGATCCCCTCTACTGATCTCCCGTAAGAGGGCACAGAATAACTCAGGAGAAACACTGCGAAACTCCACTGCTGGAAGAGTTTAGTGAACATTGTATCCTCCGGGTCTTAAAACCTGCAAGGAAAGGGAGATCAGTCCCGAGGGACACATGCGCCAGCGCCGTCCTCAAGCAGTCCCTGCTTTCGGCTCTACCAGCTCCGAGGTTGTGAAGGAAAAACAAACTTTCTGAGCTCTCGGAGGCGGCTCACTTCTTCCAAACTTCGCTCCCTCTCTCTCCCTTCTTTGCTGACTGCCTCTCCCTCCCTCTCTCCTTCCCTCCCTCCCTCTCTCTCTGTCTCTCGCTGCCCGGAGGCAAGATCTTTCTCAATATCAGTTAAAAAAATCATCTAGCTCATATTTGAATCGGGTTAGGGAGCGCGTCCATTTGTCTCCCTGAGCCCTGTTCAATTCTAGTCCGCTAAGTCGCTGTCTCAGGGCTTTAGGTTACAGGAGAAGCCCTCTTTGCAGATAAGGAAAGATTCCCAAAAGTCAGCTCAGCTACCCTTTTCTCTGTAAACACACACACACGCGCGCGCAGATTCAGGCGCGGGGGGAATGCATCTATACATCTGTCTTTAAGTATACCTCTGAAAAAAAAAAAAAAAAAAAGGCAGGTTCACGTCCTCTGCTTCCTGCAAGTTGGGTCCACGACTGTGGCAAGGAAAGGGAACCGAAGCAAAGAGCGCTGCCTAGCCGGAGAGCCCGAGAGGTCTAAGAGAAGCGGTGGCCCGGGGAGGCTGAGGGGCTAGGAAGCATGCTTGGCTCCGCAGGTTGGATTGGGCTGGAGCCTGCGATGTTCACACGCTCCGAAGCAGCCTCTGGGAGACCTGCGGGAGGACGGAGGGTTTTGCAAAGAGATGGCGCCCTAGGAACATGTGAGGAGAGAGCGGGAGCCCGGGCGGGATACCCACAGCCAAAGAGGAGACTAGAAATCAGCGCTTCCCGGGACCGGGATCAAAAAGGAGCGAAGAAAGGGAAACACCCGACAGCACATGCACTCAGCAGACCCTAAGGGCTCCGGCCAAGCTCTTCGCATCTTCTGCAGCCGGGCTCCTCTCCCTCTCTCTGCCCCCACCTCTCCCTTTTTGTGTTTACCCCTAGGGCAGCGCCTCCCCTGCCGTAGCACAGTGGAAAGGGCGATTCCCCCCATCCGTGGGGGCACTTCTTAGATCGAGCCCGAAAACCCAGCCTGGGATCGTTGCCGCCTTTCCTTTCACACACCTACCGTTGCTGGTCGCAGTTCCCCTATTAGCTGGAGGGCTGATGCCTAATGATGTTAATTGTACGCTAGCAGAGGGGAGGGGGGGGCTGAGGGGGAGGGCTGGGGGAAGGACTCGCAGTCTATGAACCACAGCGCTCCCGGCCAACAAGG